AAAAAAAAAAAAAAAAAAAAAAAAAAAAAGAAAAGAAAAAAGACAAGACTCAAACTTGCAACCCTCCTGCCTCAGCCTCTGTAACTGCCTGTAAGTGCTGTGATTGCAGTGGTACACCAAACTATCTGTATTTTTCATGTCTATTAATGATTGCTCTACAGAGTATATCATGAATCATTTATGCATTGCAGTCCAATAGACTTTAGTACTTTTCCACTTCCCAGAGGATGCTGTTTTCTTAGAACCTTTCAATCTTTCACACCTTCATGGTCTGTATTATATTTCCTCTATCCTGTCTGAGCATGTTTAGGTACAATTGTTATGCTTGATTAATAAGAGAAATTTGGATGTTTCCTTCATTGCTTAGGCTCTGAAATAATCTCTGCAGCATAGGCTCTGTCTAGACTCCAAGAATCTCCTGTAAAGCCATCTGATCTGGTGTTTTATGGGGTGGTTCCTTAAACATTTTCTCTATATATTAATATTCTTAACTTTCAGCTGGCTGCGGTCAATTTTTATAATGTACTTTCCTAAGGCTCTGTGCATCTAATCTAGGATTTCAAATTTACTCCACAGAGTGGCACAAAATGATTTTAGGTTTATTATTTTTAAAAATTTCTTCCATAACATTAATTACTTTTCTTTGTTGTTTCATGGTTTTTATATTTATGCTCTCTCGTTTTTTATGAAATTAGCTAATGGCTTGTCTTGTTTTGTATAAGAACCAGAATTTTCATTTATTAATTTGATCTACTGTTTTTCTGTTTTGTGTTTCATTAATTTCTACCCCTATCTTTATTCAAGTTTTATCATTCCCTTCCTTTAACATTCTTTCAATTTACTTCCTGGATCTTTTCTTTCCTTTTAAAATTAAAAATGTAAACTTATTCTTGTTTTTATTAATAGAGAAATTTTGGGCTATGAAACTTCCTCACTGCTTTATATGTAATCCCTTGGTATTGATATATAATGTTTTCATTGGAAACTATGTGATCGTGGTTTGTATTTCCCCTCACACAAAAGATGTCGATAGAAGTGTTTTAGTTTTTGTTGCATTTGTTGTGGTTTACTTCCTGATGGAAGGGCTCTTTTTTGTTTTTTAATTTCTAATTTTATTGTACTGTGACCAGAAAATGTTATTTTAATAGCTCTACTTTATACAAAATTTTGACGTTTTCTGTGTTATCTTAATATAAGATCACTTATTATGAGTAGTGTGCTACACACTGAGAAGAACATTCATTCTCTGCCATCAGAATGTACTGTTCAATGCATATCCACGATGTCTACGTACCTGGTTATTTGGATCGATCACAGTCTGGTTCTCTGTGAAGCAGGTTCTGGGAGGTTTTAATGCTGCTTCCTCAGACAGTGGTCCAGCCCAGGACATTGCATTCAGGCTAGGTCGGGGTCATCTATGGTGGGGGAGACACATCCTGCTCCAGATGGCCCCTCCTTCCCACACTGTCACTAGAGAGACTGCTCTTACTGCAGGTGGCCCTGAAGGGTCCCAGTGAAAACGCTTCTGGTTGGTTGGTTGGCGGGTTTGGGGTCAGAGATTTCTGAGCGAATGTATCCACAGGTTTAGAGCACTATGGAATTTCCAAAGTGAAGGTATAGATTGGGTAGGGAGTCTGATAGAGGAGCTAGAATGTGTTTGTTCTCAGCCTGGATACATTTTGACGCTTTGCTTCCTCTCTAAATACAACTCTTAGCAAAACCAAATTTAAGGTGACATAAACAATTGGGCAAAATCACAGCACAGTAGGAAAGGGGAAAATGAGAGATGCTTTGGTACTTAGAAATCAGATGGTGAACGGTGGTGATGTTCAAGATACCCATGAAAACGGAGAAGGATGCAGCTCTGCAGGCCACAGGCCCATCGCCTACAGAAACCCCCAGGTCAACCCAAGTTCCCAGAACCAACTTTCCTAGAGCTCTGGAGAATGAACAAGGTTTGCCATGGCAAGCAAATGCTGAGTCAAAAAAAGGCACCTTAAGAGAGGTAGTGGAGCTGTGTGTGTGTTTGCTCGCCCCACTCAGCCCCACTGTGGTGGCTCTGTCACTGGTTCCACAGAGAGCAGAGCAGCCTCCTTCACAGAGCAGCATGTGTGTCCATTCTCACTTGTCTGGGGTTGCCTGAAGGACAACACAGACCTGCTAAAAAATGTCAAAAGACCAACAGTCTGCATTCACCTCAGGCAAAAAGATTATGGCTGAAGCAAACAACAGAGCAATGAAAGCCGAGGAGGAAAAACCTCAGAGATTCAAAAGCACCCATGTCTACAAGGAAATCTAGAAAACCTTATGCATGCCCAGGGACACTTCCATGCTCAGAAAAGACCTAAGAAGACTTTGAATTTTCACCTAGGGCTGTCTCAAGGCTCAGTGCATGAAGGAGGTGAAAGTTAAAGTAGAGTTGACTAAAAAATTGAGTAGCCCACCTCTGTATGCACACAGAGCCAATCGCAGAGACTGGGAGAGCTTTCTTGTTTCTGTCAGTTCCTGACACTGTGTGCCTAGCCCAGTGGAGAGCCCTGACATAGATGCTAAGGATGTTTGCAAATGTGGCCAGCAGGAGGCAGGGTCCAGACACAGGACTGTTCTGGTGGTGTTGGGGGGGGGTGATAGGCAACCAGGAATGACTTGGTGGCATTTGCAGTGCCCTCTGCTTTTCAGCTGTCTCAGTTGTGTTCTTTGGATACTGTTGTGGTTCCGATTCAGTCGGTCCTCATTCTGTCAGAATGCAGTCACCCTCACTGCCTGCGGTAAGGTTAAGGCTGGAGACAGAGGCTGCTTGTCCCGGAAAGACCAGAAGCCGGCTCACCCCTCTGGCACAAGGTCATCCCAGCATGGGTACAGGTCTGCTGGCATTGAGTGGATGTTCATCAGCACAGGCAGTTTTCAGCTTTGATTTGTGACACACAGAACATGGGGCTGCCTTTACCACCAGTGTCTGACAGGCCCCAGAGCCACAGGGCACTGCGGTTATCCCTTGTCTCTCCATCCAAGTGACAACACATTATCTCTGGCTCCAGACAGTGAGGAGCCCCTAGGAAGCACAGCAGGACCACAGGACTCAGACGCACTGTCCCCTCTGCAGACTGGGCCAACTGTGTCTAATGATGCTATCTTTCCCTGCAGGAAGAACATCCCCATGGAACACGTGATGCCCGCAGACAGAGAGCAGACCAAGAAGGTGGTGTACTCAGTGGTCTACGGAGCAGGTGAGGACTGTGGTCTTGGGGCTGAGGGCTGAGGTCTTGGGGTCACCTATCAGCTGAATGGCTATGGGCTTGTGTTTAAGTGTGGCCATGCTGCAGAGAAAGCACCGAGTACTGGGTGTTACTGCCTAAGCACTCTGGGGAAATTTGTGTCACCAGGCACTAGTCAGGCCACTTCTCACCTCCAACTCTCTGTGTCATGGGCAACTCTCTCAGGATGACCAGGTCCCACCCCACATCACACCACTATCCCAGGCACCACTCAGAGGCACCAGGCCTGGCAGTGTTAAGCCCTCAAGATGGACTCTGTCTTGACTGCTTCCCAGCTCATGTGCCTCTCCCTTGGGGCATAGCTCTCCAGGTAGGCTACACAGCCAGGGTCAACCCCTACAGAAGGCATCATTTCCTCCTTCTGTGCCTCATCCTTCCAGAAGGGGGTCCAGCCTCAGGGGCAGAGATGGGCCAGGCTGTGGAGCTGGAAGCCAGCAGCCTGGGCCACCATCACCTCCTCTTCCCCACATTCCTCCCCTTCCCCCTCCCCAGGACCCAGGCAAAGCACCCTCTACCCCTTCTACTCTCCCTTCCTTCCCTTCTCTCCCTGACTGAACTGGCTGTGCCTATGTAGGGCCCGACTGCCTCTTTTGGTGGAGCGGTCTGTCTGCTGTCACAGGCCCCAGTGACCACCTTGTCTCTTTGGTGGTGTATCTTGGAGCTGTGAAGCTTGTACATAGGCCCTGAGAAGAAGTTTCACCTCCCTGCCCTAGAGGCCTCTGGACATTCCAGCAGAACTGCACAGCCTCCCGCGTGAGCCTTAGGGCAAACACACAGTGGCCTGAGAAGACAGTACCATGCAGTCCCCATAACCACAGTGCCCTGGGGTACATCTTGAGGGCCTTTCCCAGAGCTTGTTCTCCCCTTTCCTCTCAGAATACCTTCGTGCATGTGCACAGAGCTCCTTGTTTGTGTCAGATCTGCATCCAAAACTCCCCTCTCAACCGTCTCCCACCAGTGTTCGTTACCCATTCAAATTGCCACACACTTCAGGATTTAAAACAACATTCATTCACTACCTCACAGATTCTGTGGAAGCAGGCAGGTCATCCCCTGCAGGCTGCTATCAGGATGCTGACTGGGGCTAGGACCCCGTGTGAGATTGGCCTAGGGAAGAACCCACTTCCTGCTGTGTGTGCTTCCCTCTGGTCTGCGGTCCCCAGCCTGGCAGCTCACCTGCTCAGTATGGGTGGCAGGACCTGTCTGCTCTGCTCACACCTGCCAGAGGAGGCACACAGTCTGAGAACATTCTGATTGTGGGTACAGGGTCTGGAGACAGATCAGAAGCTGAGCTCAGCAGGGACAGTGGGGACACTGGTGACTGTCCTCAGTCACCTGGTCCATTTCCTCCCTCTGCCTGAACCTTCCTGGGTCTCTGGGCTGGGAGAAGAAAGCCGTCTGCCCAGGTAGATTAGGTCTTGACACTTACATCCTGTTCCAGACATGCCATGGGCACTGGCTCTGCAGGCCCTGCAGGCTCTGAGTCCCAACCATCATCTCCTGAGGCATGGGCTCATATGAAGGTCTCCACTTGCCTGCCCATCTCTTCCTCAGTAAATGCTGGGGCCCCACCTGCCAGTTAATTCACATCTCTCTTCTGCCATCATCAAAGCTGTGCTAAGTCCGTAAATGCCCTAAGAGGCTCAGCAGCTTCCTTGGGTCTCCCCCTAACCCCAACCTGAACTGGCCCCTCAAACCCACTTGGAAGAAAGGGGCAACCCAGAGTGAGCATGTGAATGCCCACTATGAGCAGGCTGTGCCCAGGAGAACCATTGCCTGTCCACTCCACAGCCCTGCTCCTTAGAGAAAGGTGGCCTCCCAGCTATCTGATGGGCTCCTTCTGCAGCATTCACTTTGTTTTCTGGAGAGGAAAAGAGCTTCTGTGTAAATAAGCAGTGAGTCATTAGCTGTGATGCCAGTGAAGATGGTAATTTGGCTGCTTTTAGCCTTGATGGTGACAGAAGCGCCTACCCTAAGCCTCTGTCTCTGCTATCCACATTGTTCTGCCCTCCTGGCAGCCTGAATTAGCACGTGTCTGTGCCTGGCTGGGGCTGTGCCTTATTCTCCCTTGTTTGAGACCAGAACCTGTGGATGAGCTGGGTGAAGGATGCAAGGGAACTTGCCAGGTTCCTGGGCTGCTGGGGACCCTCAAGAAAGTCAATGCCAAGACAGTGGCCAGGCAGCTCTGGATGGTGTGCACCGTGCCTTTTCAGGGAAACAGCTGAGTGCCCTGAACACTACTGACAGGGAGGCTGGGCCACCACTGTCTTGGGAAAATAGTTCCTAAACCTCTGTGAGGACCTGTAGTGAGACAAGCCAAGAAGTTGCTTCAAAGAGATGTGGGTGCTGTGCGTGGCCCCTGCAAGCCATGGAGCTGGCCTGGACCCGCAGCACTTCAGACTCATGCAGCTTATGTGTTGCCTGGACCTTGACCCCAGGCTGGCTTGAAGCTCACATCCCTTCCTGCAGGTGGCTGAATTCAGCATCTGCCTACGTACCAGGCACCTCCCCAGCTCACGAATCCTGCTCCACCCTGAGCTGCCTAAGCCCCTTCTTTCTTAGAGTTGCTCTAACACTGAGTCTTGCCAACACTTCCTCAGCATGCTCCATGTCCAGTCATGCCATCCGCAGTGTTTGCTGAGCATGTGCCCTGCACCAGGAGGCCTGTGGATGAGGGCTTAGGGCTCACTCCCAAGGGGCTCACCTCTGTCCAGAGAGACACAAGACTGAGCCCACTATCGCATCTGGTGAGCAAGGAGCCTGAGGATCACATCCCGCACACACAGAGGGCCAGAAGGCTGCCTAGAGCAGTGACACCTGGACTGTGCAGGTCTGTCATTCCTGGGGCTGACTGTGGTCGAGGCGTTTGCTCAGCCCTAGAGACAGAACTGAGAGTACAAACTGAGCAGTATGGATAGGGTGGCACTTGGAGAAAGGAGACTGAGGATATCCACCCAAAGTTAACTCTAGGATATGCGCACAAGCATGCATATGCTGGACACCCTGCAGCCAGGCTCCAGTCCCTGCCTGCCCAGTACACAATGCAGGCTTGAGAAGAAAATACACCGAGAGACAGAACTAAGAGAAAGAAAGCGGGACCAGGACAACCAATGCCGGTGCAACCAACAAAGGCGCTGCACAGTCCCAGGCACTCATTTTTATTGGCAGTCAATTCAGGTAAAGGCAATGTGTGGTTTCTGTGGAAATTAATATAAGCAAGGCTCATAAAGGACAAGCATTCTCAAATTAGGAACAAAATAGACAAAATATATGATTGTTATTAGAACATTGTCCTTCTAGTCTGAAGGTTTTAGTTGTGGGAACTGAATTTGGGTGTGAGTTGCTCTGACCTCAGCATGTAGGCTTCAGCCAGACGTGCTTCTATAAACAGCCATCTGTGGCATTAACTCTTCACAGTCTGCTCTGGGCATAATCAATATCACTGTCCTCTGTATGCATACACGTGTATACACATGCACAAAGGATATAAGCATGAACACTAATTACGATTGCCAAGTTGACTGTATTAGGAGACCCTAGCAGACTAGTGAAGCATGCTTCTGGGTGTGTCTGGATGGGCCATAGAGATCTGACCTTGGGTGCTCTATCTGATTTCTAGTCCTTTCTTCTCTGGTGCTCTTTCCAACCCACTCTGCTTCCCAGCTGCCATGAGCAACATTCCTCTACCATTTCCTTCCACTATGATGTTCCTGATTTGAAGCCTGCAAACTATGGACTGAACCTTCTGAAACCATGAGCCAAATAAACTTTCCCTCCTTGAAGCTGTGGATATAGAGCATTTGGTCCCAGCAATGAAGAAGCTGACCAGTAAAATTAAGCTTCTGGAAGGTGCCCCAAAAAGAAAAAGAACTCACTTTTGGTCATAAATATTTGGGAGAGGTATAATTCTTATAATGACCAAGGGGCTCCCATCAGACCAACTCTCCCACAGATATCAACTATAAACTATGAAAAAAAAAAACCTACCTAGGAGCATTGGAAGGTACCCAAAAACAAAGAGAAAATAAGTTGATTAACACTTGCAAAAATGGTCAATGCTGAGTTCCCATTACAGCTCTGCACCTGAAGGCAAGACTCAGTCTATGCTGCAGGGGTGAGAACTCAGAAACCCACAATCTCATGAGCTAGGGCCAGAGGACAGAGTCTAGGGCAGCTAGGAAACCTGAACTATGAAGAGAGAAATTCCAGAGAGAAGAGAGCCAGAGGAATAACCTAAATTCTGGCTCCTAACTGCATGAGTGGGGCAGAGTCTGAATAGTCCAGCTCGGGCCACAAGAGCTGGTGTGAGATTTCAGCAGCTGTCTACTACGGGGAGACAGAGTATGAAGATGTTAGTAAAATTAATTGCCCTCAGAAATAAATCATGGCCAGGGATTTTGCTCAGTGGTTCTGCCACCTGCCTTGTAAGTGCAAGGACCCAAGTTCGATCCCTGGTACCAAAAAAAAAAAAAAAAAAGAAAGAAAGAAAGAAAGAAAGAAAGAAAGAAAGAAAGAAAGAAAGAAAGAAAAAAAAAGAAAAAAGAAAATCAGTACTCACTGAAAGAATCCAACAAAATCCGAAGTTTCTGTAACATATCCACAATGCCCAAAATACAATCAAGAATTCCTAAATGTAGAAACAATCAGGCCAGCTGCCATACTCAAGAGAAGAGGCAGTCACAGAAGCAGATCCTGAGATGACCTCAACATTGGAATCAGCAGATAGTTTCAGAACTGCTTGAGGATGAAAAGGAAAATACACTTACCATAAAGGGAAAGAAAACCACCACAAATAAAAATAGAGCCAATGGAAATATTAAAACTGAAAACTACAATATCTGAAGTTTAAAATCCTCCAGATGGGGTTAACAGCAAATTGAGATGAGAAAAGACTTGACTAAGAAGAAGACTCAAAGTCCCATCTGGCTGACCTGGCTGAGGGTTTTGCCACCTCTCGGAATCCTGTGGATATTTCCGTTGCAGTTCTGTAGCTGAGAGGTGGTGTTTGGACTTTGATAGACATAGTCAGATAGATTATTTCAGAAAAATGTAGTGAAACGCATAATATCTTACTGGAGAAGATATCTCACTGTCTTGACTCAGCCTTGAAAGGAATCCTGGAGGTGTTTCATTTCTAGTCAAATGGTTGAGTACTTAGGTAGGCTGAAGCATGAAGACCAAGGATCCTGGAGTTTAGCCCTCTCTGCCAAAATAAGCTATGGAAGAACAGGACATCCCACTTTCCACTCTTCCTGGCAGGACAGTGGAAGCTCATGTCTGCCCCTCGCCATCCCAAGACTTGAACATTATTGCTACCCAAAACTACTGAAGCTTCGGCTAAGGCCAGGACTGCCTGGCTGAAGAGAGGACCAGATCTGAGAGGACAGACTTGTCTCCTTGTCTTCACAGACCCTTACATCGCCACCTGTGGGTCCTGGTCTCCAGGCCATCCTATCTGAAGATCCCTGAGGTAGCCTCTAATGTGGCCTGGAGTTTGCCCACGGTTGGTAGCAGACAGCAAGCCCTCCTCCCCTAGTCTGCTGATGGTCTCCCAGTAGTGCAGCTCTGGGGTTCCCTCTAACATTGGATCCCCTGAAGCCCCGGGCCTTCCCCTTATTCCTCCCATCAGGCAAGGATCCCATGCCTGACCACACAGGCTCCCCCTGACTCTTTTAGGGGGAAGGTGGAACAGGAATGACCACATTAAACACCAAGAAGGAGCCACGCACCTCTTGGAACCTCACATGCTTTGGCCCGTGGTGTGAGGACTATTGTTCCCAATTCACAAGAGAGGAACTGGGTTTCCTGTGGATCAGGCAACTCTCTCAGAGCCACACAGAACCTCCCATGGGTAAAGGAGCTAGAACTGGACCCAAGCCTGTGTGGTCCCAGCCCTATACCCAGCAAGCAGGAGGCTCATGTTCTGGGCCAGAGGCCCTTCTTTGAGTCCTTCACAAAGACACTGCATCTTCTAGGAGCAAAATATTGATCTGAACCAACAGCATGTTTTCTAAAATAGAAATTTTAAGCACTAGAACTCTTAGTGCCATGCTACTATCACTTGGCATGGAAATTTGCCTCCTCTGTTCCCTCTCTCACCTCCCTCAGTTTTGCAGTAAGGTCTCCTGCTGGCCAAGCCCTGATGAGGCACTGTCTGCTTCATCTGTGCTTCACCTTCAGCACCTGGCAGTGAACATAGTTGAAAACTTAAGTGTTTAACAGGCCCTGTCCAGGTGGATGACACCCAGCACCCACTGTGTAAAGCCCAAAGGCAGCACTCTCCTAACTCGCAAGAAAAGACCAGGGGTGCCAGCTGGGCCTCGACACCTCATTATCCTAGAAGCCTCCTGCACACTCCCTGGGGCTCATACTCTCAGTACCTCTTCACTTGTCGTGGGTAGGGATAGACTCTGATCGTGCATCTTTCTGACTCCTACAGGGAAGGAGCGTCTTGCATCTTGCCTTGGAGTTACAGTTCAGGAAGCCACCGAGTTTTTGGAGAGTTTTCTGCAGAAATACAAAAAAATCAAGGACTTTGCCCAAGCAGCTATTGCTCAGTGTCACCATTCAGGTAAGACAGGCACAGCCAAGCCTGTGGCAGCCCTTGATCCCTCTCTTCCTGTAGCACCCAGTGGCTGTGGCTCCTAGCTCTGCATTTGGATGGGGGTGAGTGGGCAGTGTAAAGCTGGGTGGAGGCTGGTCCAGTCTCAGCTCCCGTGGGGGAGAACGGACTGAAGGCACCAGGTAAGAAGGGCCAGAGGTAGGTTCCGAGTAAAGCAACAAAACAGACAAGCTGGGGCTAACAGGTGACAGCCACACAGCTAAACAGAGACAGACAGAACCCTGGGCCCAAAAATGGAGCAGATGTATTCCTGCAGAGGGCATGTGGTACATTTACAAAATATCTCTACAGTTTGGTCGCAAAAGAAACCTGAAGAGATTTCAGAGAATATCAGGTAGAATGCATCTGTGACCAGGGGGTGCTACAAAGATAGTGTTCTACCCACCTATGTGTGTGTGTGGTCATCCACCCACCCACTTACTTGGAAATGTATCACAGTCATAAGTAATTTAAGATAAAAAGGCATTCCAGGAAAAGGACAGAAAATTTTAGAAATAATGACAGTGATGCTGCCTTTGAAAAAAGAGCATGTGAACTGTCTGGTCCAGAAACCAATGTACCTTGGGGACTGATGCTTCACCAAGTTTATCACATAAAAGGGAAAAGAGCTGGTATCACCCACCTTTAACTTTAATTCACTTTTAGGAAGTGCATCTATGATTTTTTATAGAAGTCAGAAAGTACTTTTATAAACCTGCTCTGTTGAAAATTTGCACATAGTCTGTGGACCCACTGGTATCTGAGAATTATTTCATCAGTCAAGTATAATTCAAACTGCATTTACAATAATGGAGTGTCATCACCATTACTAGAATAACGACATCATTCTTGTGAGCAGAAGTTAAACTGTAATTTAAACCTTCTTACTTATCACTCTACCTGAAAGAAGCTGGAATACACAGCATATATTATATTAGCCATATCGAGTTTAAGTTACCAAGTTCAGAGTGTCACAGCTTGTTGCTATAGGGCCTGCCATAATCATGTATTTAAAGCAAAAGCTTTGATTTAGCCAGACATGGTGAGGCATGCCTGTGGCCTTGGCTACACGGAGGGTAAGACAAGGGAGTCAAAGTTCAACCTGGGCAACTTGGAAGACCCTCTCAAGATAACATCTGAAAAAAGGCAGGGGGCAGAGCACTTGTCTAGCATCCTTGAGGCCCTGGTTCATTCTCCAGCACCAAAACAAGACAAAAAAAACCTGTTAATGAAGCTTCCTTGGCACTTATGGTACATGATTTTTAAATTGTCCTTCTGGACGAGGTTAACTACTGATAAACAGTGTCGTCTGCTTTTTCTGTTGTGGTGGTGGTTTTGGTTTTGGTTTTTTGTGAGTGTCTGGAGCTTACCCGAGGTTTGCAAGCTCCTCCCAGGTGCTTTCTCTGCTCTTTCAGTGATGCTGTTGTGTCTCAGATCCTGTCTGCCCCCGAGGCATAAAGCTAAGCTGCTTGATTCATCCCTCTGCACTTTGCGCCCCTATTTTCTTTTTATTGTGTGCATTCACTTTCAATAATACATTCCAAACGGTTGTTGTTAAGCAGATCACTGTAAGGAATGAAATAGTAACTTAATAAGTTAATTTGTTTATTTTGGTACAAAGAATGTCAGCAAAACATCTCGTCAAAAAATTTGCCACACTGATGCTTTACTTGAAAATAAAGAACAACTTTTAAAAGAATACTTTTAAACAAGAGAAATTCATGACTATAAATGAGTTGAATTTGACACAAATAATTTGGAAAAGAACAGCGGAGCAAATGAAAGAAGGAAAGAAATCAATGGAGCGGCAGAAATTAATGAAGTAAACAACAAAGAAGATTCATAACTGGTGAGGAGAGAGCATTCACCAGTCAGCACTTTCTCGGCAGCGACAAATGAAGACCAGCTGGAGGTCTGGCCTGGAGGACATCACTCTCCGTGGCTCTCAGAGGGTACAGGTGACACCTGGCAGTCTACGGTGTCCCAAACCCTCCAGGGATTGTGAGGACCTGGGCGGCTCACCACTGGCCCCTGGCCTGCCAGTGGACACACCATCAGCCCCCAGTGTGGCCCCGTGACCTCAGCACACTTGAGCTCTGCCCCCAGCCCCCACTCCCACCTGTTTGCTGGCTGTGTGAAGCACGAGGGCACCACGATTGTCTCCATCCCTAGTGGCCAGCAGGCCACAGCCAGACCTGGGGAGGGCAGCTGTCCTGCCAGAGATCTACCCACAAGAGCTGGACATTTCCTGCCCAAGAGCCCCTCAGCAAAAGTACGAGTACTGTCAGTTTTGAAATGTTGCCCTAGTGATAGCACCCAGAATCGACAAGAGCCAAGAGCCAAGAGCCGCTCGTGTGCTGTAGACAGAAATCACCCACAGTGCAGACACATAGCACTAACTGTAGCTGGGCGCAATTCCAAATGCCTTCCTAAAAGTGACTCACATAATTCTCACCACGTCTAAGAAGTGGGTAATATTGCTACCTCTATTTTTCAGCAGAATAAAACAAGTCTCTCTGAGATTAAGTAGCTGCCCAAGCCATGGCTAACAGGTGGAGTGGACATCAGGATGGTCCCGGGGCATCCCTGCTGCGGGGAGGGTCTCCCCACTTTGCAGTTAACTTTCATCAAGGGATACGGGCCATTATATATCCAAGGGAGAAGTGTGCATGCTCTGGCTTGGCAGTCACACACCGAGCAGAGACTGTAAGGCATGAAAGTAGTCGTTGAATTCATCTGCACATTTGCTGGGCACCTGTGTCTGGTATTGCACTCACACCAGAGAAACCTGCATAGCCCAGCCACAGAGACAGAGCCTACATGGGAGCGAAGATGCTCAGGTACAGCGCACAACTTGCACCTTGTGTGTGAAAGGATCAAGCAGGGCCAGAGCAGAGAGCAGCAGCCCCAGGCAGCTGCCAGCCACAGCCTCACCGAGGAGATGGCCTGTGCCAAGACCAAGAGGTCAGGAAGGGTCAAAGAGCGTAGGTCTGAGAGCAGAAGGGGTCAGGTGAGCCCAACTGGGTGTGCAATTCCAGCCCTCACTGAGCAGGAGGATCACAAGTTTGAGCCCAGCCTGGAGAATTTAAACTTTTAGTGACATTCTGTCTGAAAATATAAAAATATATAAGTGCTGGGGGAGTAGCTCAGTGCAAAGGCCTGGGTTCAATCTCCAGTACCAGAAAAGAGGGAAGGGAAGGAAGGACTGGAGGGAGGGAGGACAGACTGACTGACTGCCAGGAAGCTGCAGGACTGGAACTCGCCATGTTGGGAGTGCCACTCTGGGCCTGGCACTGTGAGGCTTCATACAGAGATGGCTTCATGTAGGGGCTCAGAACCTGTCGCTCTGGGATTATTGCATGGGGCTGGGGTAGCTCAGGGATAGAGCACTTGGCTGGCAGGCACAAGGCCCTGGTTCCATCCCCGCGTTGCAAATGTATATGATTGTTGGGTGTATGGGGAATTTTCCCAGTCCTCAGACACAGGGAAGGTTTATTTCTCCTACATACTTGGTGAGCACAGAAGTCCTCGCTGCTCAGGAACATGCTCAGCCAGAGCAGCGTGCTGTCCAGGTTCGCCAAGGGAGCCCAGATGGTTTGAGCCCCCAGCTGGGCACGGGGCCCTGCCCTGGGGCAGAGAAGACTGGCGCTCACCTCCAGCCTCTTCCCTCCACACACCAGCAGCCACACAGTCCTCATGTGGCCCGAACGACTCCTATCGGGTGTCGTGTGTTGGGGTGACTGCAGCGGGCCACCTGGCCCCCGTGACCACCCACTTCCTGGTGACAAGTGGGTGGTGAGGAGGCTATGTGGAAGGTGCTGTCTACCACGTGCTGGCCATGTCTGTCACCACCCCCGTCCACTTATCCTTCCTGTGACCCAGGCTACGTGGCCTCCATCCTGGGTAGAAGAAGGCCCCTGCCGAGGATCCATGCACGGGACCCGCAGCTGAGGGCACAAGCAGAGCGACAGGCAGTAAACTTCATGGTGCAAGGTACCACACCCCAGCCTGCCGCCTACCCTACTCCCTGGGGCCTCACCACCACTGCCTGCCAACCGTGCAGTTCCTCCAGGGAGGGTTAGGGACACACGCCCGTGTGTGACCAGTGCTCAGTGTGCAGTCATCTCCAGCAAGTGCAGAGGCAACCCCTGTCCCTGCACATGGAAAACCCGGTCTTCGGGAGCTCAGCTCCATCTCATGTCAAGGCCCGTGGTGCCCAGTACCCGGGAGGCCACTCATCCAAAGCCCTGGGGATGGTCCTGGAGGGGAGAGGCGCCTCATCACCAGAGCAGGGACAGAGTCTGCAGCAGGGGCCGAGGGGCAGGGACAGCTGAGAGAGCCCCAGGAGCCACGCCGACACAGCCCTCTGCCCCCAGGCTCCGCCGCTGACCTCTGCAAGATGGCCATGATCCGTATCTTCGCTGCAGTTGCCGCTTCCTCCACTCTGACAGCCAGGTCAGTGGACGGCCGGGGGCCCAGCTGGGTGTGCCACCCCACCGCACAGCTCTCTCGGTCTGTCTCTGCCCCCTCTGCTCCCAAGGGCTCACCCAAGTACTGGGGTGGCAGGGGTCAACGAGCCTCGCCAGCCTCCCCTCCTGGTGCTGTCCTTGCTTCACCAGCCCACATCAGACCCGTGAGAGGGACCCTGTCGGAGCTGCCCTCCCACCGTGCTGGCCTTCTCTGCACAGAGCTGTGGGGTGACCTTTGCCGTGGGTGCCAAGCTCCTCTTGGTCTCCGATGTCTTCTCTCCAAGCCTATATGTTTCTCTTGGCTTCTGATATTATTTTATGGGCTCAGGTCTGATTGTTTTCTTTGTCAGAAATGGTTTGGGGCCAGGGATTTAGCTCAGAGGTTCGTAAGTACAAGGTCCTGAGTTTGATCCAGGTATTAAAAAAAAAGGGTTCATCTTTCTCTAAAAAAAAAAAGTCTTTCTTCAAACACCTCACCTGTGCTCACTTCAGCAGCACATATACAAACACCTCCCCTGTTCTTTCTGACTTTTCAGCCTGTCTTGGTGATTTAGGCAGCTTCATGCAGGAGCAGGTGGTACCTTGCCTCCCAAGGGCAGGCGGCTGTCCCCTGACCCCACCCTGCTGACCCCTCCGTCCTCACAGGGCAGAAACTTGGGGGCAGCCACCTGGGCCAGGGAGGAGGGCGTCCCAGACACCACCGAGCCCCACAAGGGGCTCCAGCCATGCCCGGTCCTGCTGTCACTGGTGAGCCAGGGTGGGAGCAGGTGTGCAGAGCTCTGCCTCCCTCACTAGTTCCTGAGATCCACGCATCTGCCCACCTCCACAGCTTCTTCGTCTGTTCTGGCCTCTCCCATGTGAGTGGCCTGGCTGGTTTCTGTCCTGTCTGGGCACAGCTGCAAAGTAGGTCTTGTCTAAGTCACTTCTGGCTTCACTTCTTCCCAAACTGGTCCGGAGCTGTAAGTGAGGTCTGGAGTTGCAGGGCAGCTCTAACTTAGAGGCCTAATAGCCACTGGATTCCACCGAGTGTAGACCAGGGGAAACTAAGCCATGCAAGTGATGCAATTTGTCCAAGCTCGTGCAGAGCCCAGCCATGACCAGGTCCTCCCCGCCCTGAGCAACAGCATCTCAGAAGTGGGTTTGGGGCAGGGCTGTCACACAGGCATGCTCTCGGGGGCGGGGGGCTCAGGGAAGCTCTGCACAGCTGGGGCCCTGAGAAGCAGGACAGGTGAAGCCCTTTTGGAATGTTCCATCAGCCTGATCAGGCTGTGCCCTAACCCTAACCTCTCTGGGGAAGGGAAGGGAAGGGAAGCCAGCGCAGTCTGCTCCCATCCTGGAGCCAGGGTGTCCCAGTCATGAGCGCGACGTCTTGGTGACTGTGAGGGTGATGTGTGAGTGACTAACAGCCACACCTATTCTTAGGTCTGCCACACTGGCAGCTCAGAACTTCACAGCGTGATTTCAAGACGTGTGAAACTGTGTCTGCTAAATCTGGAGAGGTTCACAGGCACCTTTCTGAGGTCTCTGCCCCTGAACAGGGAGCCCTCAGGAGCCAGAGGCTCTGCCAGAGCCCCCCAGTTAGTTTCAGAAAATGCACAAGTGCTGTGCCCAGCCCGTGTCCTGCCGTAGCCTGGCTTCGGAGGCAGTGCAGGTGCCCTGGCCAGAGGCTGTAGGAGCACACGGCACGCCTCCCACCGCCCACCTCCCTGCCGGTGCCTGGAGGGTCCACGCCACTGTCCCTACACATGGCCTTAGGACATGTGCTCGGCCACCAGCACCAGAAGAGAAGGCCAGGCTCCGTGCTGCTGACTGTTTCTGAAGCCCAGGACAGCAGTACGGAAGTCCTCTGGCTCTCTGGCCCTTCCTCTCTCAGGGCCATGGTGGAGGTAGCTGATCCGACCATCACAATATTTTCCAAGCAAAGAGAAAAAGCAGTGATGATCGAAGGGAGCCCTGTAAGCCTTCCTGGAAGTTAGAGGTGCACATCCCATCCACTCCAGCTGAGGGACCCTCCCAGTGCTCTGTGGCTGAGGACACAGCTCCACCTCCACCCCACCCAACCCAAAGGGCTCAAAGGGATGGAGCCAGGAGGCTACTGTAGAGCTCGGCACCTGGGGCTGGAGCGGCAGCACCAGCCTTGGCTCATCACACACCCACGGCCACTGCCCTCTGCAGCCTTCGCACACCTCCCCTCTCGAGCCCGGTTTTGTGGTGTGGTGAGGGAGCCCAGACAGCAGGTGTGAGGGTGAGGGGTGAGTCATAATTGCTGCCCTCAGGGCCCAGGCAGCCCCACACAGGCGCCTGTCACCAGAAAACCGCACATGTCCAGTCCTGCTAGGCCACCTGCATACTCCCTCTGAGTGGGGGTAAACTAGGAGGATTTTCAACTTTTACACTTTTGAATGTTGATATATTTTCCAAATTTTAAATTTGACTTCAAAAGCAAAAAAAAAATTTTTTTGAGACAGGATCTCATGTAGTTTAGGCTGACCTTGAGCTCAACGTATAGCACAGGTGATTCTCCTGCCTCAGCCTCCTGAGTGCTTGGATCGCAGGTGTGCGCCACCACACCTGGCTCAAAAGCAAATTGTTAAAAGATTGCCTCCCCATCCTCTTTTTCTGCACTGAGATGAGGGTGCCCCCCCATGCCAGGCATATTCACCCTTCACAGTGGGCCCCATGTCACCCCAAGGGCGGCCTTCTGCCTCCTCCAGGCTCTTCAGAGTGTGGCATGGTCAGCCCCACCCTCCGGGCAAGAGCAGGGGCCTGGGGATGGCTCTCCTTGACAGCAAGTGACCCTGTGCAGCAGGGCTCAGCCTGACCCCTCCATACCCCACTCCCACCTGCCCTCGGCACCTGGCTAAGAGTGCCTCTCCAGGCAATGCCTGTCCACCTCCAGGTTGGTTGCCCAGATTCATGATGAGCTGCTGTTTGAAGTGGAGGACTCACAGATCCCAGAGTTTGCAGGTACGCCTGGGAGCCCAGGGCTTTTCTATCCCAAATTGAAGTCCCCTCATATCCTCCCTTCATTTCCTCTGAAGCAGACAGAGCACCAGCTCCATGTGGGGACCTTGGAAGGCCCAGACAGGCACCCACTGCTTCCAGAGCCTCACCAGAGTCCAGGGCTGTGCCTCCTCTGGACGGCTGAAGGATGGTCTGGGAAGACTGTGCCAGGTCCCCAAGACTGGCAAGTGCCATGGAGCATCCCTCACAGGCATGACAGGCCACCAGACTCACTAGACTTCACCTGGTAGTCACAGGAATCTGCTCTGGCTGGGATGGCACACCTGGCACTCTTTCCCAGCCTAAGCCTGATGGCCTGAGCCTGGCACCTGCCACCCCTGGCCAGCCCACCCCAACCAGGGAGACCTGAAGCTGAGGACTGGTTGCTGGGGGTGGGAGGGCACAGCCAAGGGGCTTCAGGCAGTACCCTGGGCTGGGACAGGGAGCTACATGGGGATAGAGGCCTAGAGCAGAGGGTTTGGATGATCATCTGGGGACCAGGCAGGCTGCAAGCAGCTGTTTCCTGTTGCAGTGCTGGTCAGGAGGGCCATGGAGTCCTTGCAGCACCTTTGGAGCCCAGAGCTGCAGCTGCAGGTGAGGGACACCCAGCAGCCCAGAGGCCCTCGCACCCCTGGGAGAGCATGGAGCAGGAGCCTTTGGGGAGGCAGAGGCTGCAGGGAAGGGACTACAGCTAGTGCCCGCTCAGAACCAGGGCCGGTTAAGCCAGAGGGGCAGGGCCCTGGACAGTGAGTACAGATGGCCCAGGACACACCTCACACCCCAGGGTCCCTTGCTTGGCAGCCCTGCAGTCCTGCTCTTTGCAAGAGGCCATTGGGGGAGGGGGTAGTGTCTGTCCTTGCACAGATGTGTGTCTGTGCATGTGTGTATGTCTGTCTGCAGCTGTCTGCCAGGCCATGGGCACCTGGGCACAGTAGCCCCGACCTGGGGTTCATTCTTGCCTGCTGCCCACAGGTGCCCCTGAAGGTGAGCCTGAGCACCGGCCGCTCATGGGGATGCCTGGCCCCACTGCAGGAGGCCCCGACCAGGGGCTCCTCTGAGTCATGAGAGTCAGAGTCCTGGCAACAGCTGCCCTCCACTGGGCTCCTCAGCACCTACCCCCGGAGTGTGCATTTTTCCCCTTCATTTTGTCTGTAGCCCCAGGCAACGGTGGGAGGAGAGAACTGGTTTCCACCAGCCCATTGTGAGGCCTTTCAAGGTCATCAACGGGCCGTGTGGGAGCTGCAGCAGGGGCACAGGGCTGGATCTGCCCTAGTAAATGTCTCCTCCAAAGCCATCTTCCTGGTCCGTGTGAGTCCTTGGGGAGGGCCATGACCACAGCCCCCCACCACTTGGCTAGAGTTGAGCACCCTAAGTCTGGTAGCCCAGCCCTGGATGAACATCCAGCCCAGGCCCCATTCTGTGTGTGCCACACACAGCACCACACGGGCAGGGAGCTGCCATCCAGGACAAGAGGTACCTGGAGAGCTCCTGGCCTTGGTTCCAGCTGAGCTACCCTGATGAACTTGGTGTTTATTACACGAGCCTGTGGAGGCCATGGACGCCTCCTGTTGGCTGAGGGGCAGCCCCTGACCCTGACACAGCGAGTGGCCGTGAAGGAATGTGCAGGATCCCTCTGCTACCAAACTGTAACCTAGCAAGGGGTCTGCAGGGGAGGGGTCTGTGCCCACGCCAGTCCCCAGCACCCTCCATACCCCATGGCATCCACCTGTGGGCAGTAAAACTCCATCCCTACCCACCTGCTTGGAACCAGACCTCACAGCAGCCTTCAGAATGCTGGGCAGGCAGGAGCCAGGCCTGCGGCACAGCCAACCACTGAGGAGTGCCCACGTCCCTGGAACTAAGAACCCAGACCTGGAGGCCTTGCTTGGTGGGGGTTGTGAGCCTGGGAGAGGGGCCAAGGCCCTAACAGCACCCAAGTCCAGGTCTTGGCCTTGATGGTACCTCTGCCCCAGGGCCAAAACAGAGCAGTGTGGCTGGGTGCCTGGGGTTCCCTGGTGGGGGCAGAGGTGTCTCAGAAGTGTCAGGAATTAGGTTTCCCGAACCTGGGGGAGCCAAAGCCCTTGGTCGGCTGCTCAGAAGTGCACTGGGCCTGAGCCAAATCCCTCCCAGCTCCAGCTCTTGCTCCATCCCAGTCCCACCCCCACAGGCAGAGGGCCAGACTCCCCAGATGCACCTGGGAGACCCACAGAGCCACCTGGCTGCCACCTGCTCCAGGGTCAGCTCAGCTGAGCTGCCCAGGAAGGGGAACAGGGCCTGGGTGGGAGGCAAAGTCTCCAGCCCAGGAGGTGTCTCAATAAAGCACAGAGCCTGGTTCCTTCAACTCTGATTTTATTGAAAAACAGCAGCATTGGGGGCCACGCAGGCCGGCACACACCCACTCGGGCCCAGCCTGTCTCCGGGGAACTCGGCTCGGCACCTGACCCTCAGGGCTGCTTTGGCACATCCCAGGGCCGCAGGACACCCACCCTGTCCTGGGCTCACAATACAGCTTCAGGAACACACCACGACGTGTCCCCGCCCCAGCCAAGACCAGCCAGGGTCTGTCCTGCCCCCTGCCCTGCCATGGCCAACACGGACATGGACTGGAGCTGACCACCCTTCCAGCATCCAGCAGGGCTGGGGTACACACACGGAGTCGCCGCAGCCCGGGACCCTGCTTCTCGCCAGAGCACCTCCCAGAGTGAGAAGCCTCCCCATACCCTCCCCGCCGTGACACCTGCACACACTCACAGGGACAAACCTATGTTTACAGGCAGCAGTGCTCTCCCACAAGCACACAGGTTCACATGTGCAGCACTTGTACACATGCACGCTCATATACGCGGGGGTCCACACACATGCATATGTGCAGGTGCTCACACACAGACACATACACTCATTTGCACACATCCACAGAGCTCACACAGGCACACACACGCACACGTGGGTACACCCCTTCCTTAAAATGGCTAATTATTGCTGTTTTAAAAAAATACATCCAAAGATGGTAAATTGGGGCTCAGCCTCCACCCAGGCCTGGGCAGCTCTGGCCAGCTGTGCTGCCCATGTGCCATGGACATTGCACCACAAGGCAGATCATTCCTGGGCTAGCCCCGAACTCAACCTTGGCAGCCTGAGCCCAAGGCCAGTCCTGTCACACACGCTGGAGTCTGCAGACAGCAAGTAGACCAGCACGCACCCACAGGCAGGCACAGTCCCTGGGCCTGGGGCTCACTCTGCCTGCTGCCCCTGAGGCACTGACAGCAAGGTGGCCCCACAGGTGCCAATACATCCCCACCAGGCTGGGAGCCACCTGTGACGCAAGAAACCCACACACCATCAAAGCCTGGACAGCTCTGGCCACGTGCACAGCCTCCAAAGCCAGCTCTGGGAGAGCATGGGCTCAGGCCACACAGCACAGGCAGGGGCAGGCACCACAGGTGGCACAGGCATCAAGCCTCTCAAAGCTAGGCCCCTGGCTCAGAGCACCCCAGGTCCTGGCAGCAGTCTGGAAGCTCTTCTCCCCTCCAGAGCGTGTGAATGCCAGTTGCTCTGAGAAAGGACCCAGAGCAGGACAAGAACAGTGCAGGGCCTCGTGCTCTGGGCTGCTGTTTGCTTCTTCCAGGGCCAGCTGTCCACTCCCTCAGCCCTGCCATATGCTGACATCTCAACCACTGGGCACAAAAGTAGGTGTAGGAGGGGGAAGAGGCTGCCATGGCCACAAGGGCTCAACCTCCCTGAACTCAAGGGCCAACCAGAGATGGCCTCAGTACAGGGGTGCCAACCTCCTGGCCACCTCCACAGGGGCTGGCTGCATGGATGCAGGACCCGCAGGGGAGCTGCCAGGGGACACCCAGCAGCTGCTCCCCAGGCCGCACCACAGGCTTAGCAAACTCTGATGACCTGAACACCACCCCCCTGTCCACCCTCCCACTCCACAAGAAGAGGCCTGAAAACAAACAACAGAAACCTTGGGCGCCCCAGGCTGGGCTCCTTGGACTTTGCCAGGCCACGAAGGGGTCAGAGACCTGGGGAGGGGGCAGTGGGCTGGTAAACTCAGAGGAACCATGCCAGACACCAGGCAGCAAGCCCGGAAGGGCCTCCATAGAGGTAGAAGACACAGCAGAGTTTCCACAAACATATAAAATTCATGTCAGTGCACAACTGCAGAGCAATGAATGCTCAAGCTGGAGAGACATGGAGGGCTGGGGTGGGAAGGTGCACCAGCACACCCAGCCTACAGCTCCAAGGGACAGGAGTTTTGCCTGTCAGCCTGGTGAGGGCCAACGCCTTCCCTCTCTGCCAACCTGCTTTTGACATCTTAGCCAAATCCCAGCAGCAACAGAAGGGTGGCAAAGGACAGCAGAGTGTCCCTCCCTTGGCTCAAGGGGCTATAGGGCTGGCAAGAGATCCCCTGGGGCAGAGAGGTGGCAGCAGGCCAGGAGGGCCTCTGAGTCCCAGCAGTGGGACCTGCCAAGAGCAGCCCCAGGTCAACTAAGGGTTCCCTTGTACCCAGGCTCCCCGATTTATGAACCCGGCAGCCCCACCCCATTCCCCCAGGCCCAACGACTGCAGGCTCTGAAGGCACAGGGAGAGAAGCCTCGCTGGTCAGAACTGCCCACCAACCAGACACTGCCACCTAAGACAGCTTTGCCCCTGCCCCAGGCCTAAGACTGGCCAGCAGCCCCAGTGGCTCCCCAGCAACTAAGACCAGCCCAAGCCAACACCAAATCAAACAGAAAAAGAAGGCACGACTGTTTGTTTTCCATTTTGCTAAAACACTTTACGTCTGTCTGTATAATCCAGATTAACAAAATCTGAGAGCTGCAAGAAAATAGGGTGCCAATTTCTGTACAGTCTACAAAACTCCCACCCCTAAGGGGGACTGGGCGCCACCAGGAAGGAATGTACAGGGGACAGCGGGGTCTGTACAGTGCTCTGCAAATGCCTCAACTGCTAACAGAACAAAAAGGCCCCTGAAGCATGGGCTGGGAGGCCAATCCATTCCCTCCTGAAAAGCCTTTCTAAGAATATGACCTTGGTGTCAGGGACCCAGCTCCATGGCCCCCCTGCCTGTCACTCCCCCAGTCCTTCAAACCCCACACAAAAGGGTCTGGGTGGCCTGCCCATATAAGGCCAGGTACAGGCTCAGCTGGCCAGTGGTCACTGCCAGCTCTACTGTCCTCTCCCTGCCCAACCACCTTCAAGTCAGCTGAGCTGGCCATGGTGGGACAACAGGCCCTGCTCCACTTCCCTTGGCAGTGCCTGGGTCCCCTCCAGGGCTGTAGGACATGCCCTGTCCCCTCAGTCCTGCACCAGGGCTGCAAGGGGCAGCTTGCAGCTTCCTCACAAGCCAGGAATATTCTTTGTGGGGGGATTACACTAGGTCAGGGTCTCCCTCCAGATCTCACTGTGAAGCCCTCCACCCACCCGGCCACCCACCCCCATCAAATGGGGCCAGAAACAGTGCATACGCTAGCACCACACGGTGTGTGTCTGAAGGTACAAACTACCATTTTGTCCCAAGAATTAAAGTCATGCAGAGTGCTATTCTGTCTAAATAACTTATTAGAAAACGGGTCGGTTTCAGGCTGGGAGAAGCTGTGGCTGGGTGTCGCCGGCAGCAGCCTGGGCTAGTAAGATTCACAGGGTGGACCCCGGCAGACAGCTGAGGCAGAGGGGCCACAGGCAGCTGGAAGGAGTCGCCTGATCTAGCAGGCACTGGGGAACAGGTGTTCCCTGTGGGCCCCTGCCGCAATATAAGACAGGTCGCTTCAGGAACCACACCTGGGTGCTGTACCAAGTCAGCCAAGCCCAGGCACAGGACGCAGGGACCAGGAGAGAGAGATGACGTGGTATCAAAGCAAAGCAGGAATAGGTGGAGCAGGGTGGGTGGCCCAGGCCAAGCCCCCTGGAGCGCACACAGGCCTGGGTCCCAGGGTCCTTCCGGGCAGGGCAGCAGGGCAGGGGCTGTGGCATGCGGCATGCGGCAGCCAGCCACGTCCTCAGCATGCACAGAGCAGCATGGGACCCGAAGCCACCTTGGCTTCCCTCAGGGCAACAGCCGGCCACACTTCAGGGATGATGGCTGAGCCACAGCCTGGCTGGGGGGCCAGAATCTGCTCCCCGGAGGGTTTGGGCAGAGCTTCTGTGCTTAATGAGAGAGATGAGGCCTTCTGGACAGAGGCAGGTGGCGACTTGGCAGTAGTCTGGGAGTCCACAACTCCACTTCCCAAGGCTGGGAGGGTGCGGGGCCGTGGCTGCAGACCCCACCCCGCCAGCGTGTTGCAGATGAGCAACAGCCCCACACACCCAGGAACAGCCAGATAACCACGTGATGTTGGAAGAGAAAACCCAACACAAACGCCAAGGTGAGCGTCTGGAAGCAGGGTGGCACCGGGTGGCGGCGGCGGGCGGGCGGGCAGGTG